GAATGAAATTCAACACTCATTTAATAAGGAGAAAAAGTTGGGAAGATAATATCAAAGAGTGGACAGGACTAAAACTAGGCGATGCTGTGCGAGGTGCTGAAGACAGAGAGAGACGAATTGAGGGGGGGGGGGGGATAGTTCACATGTCATCTGTGGCGCCCCAACGGTCCAAGGACTAAGGGACATGATAATGATGAATGAAATTCAACACTCATTTAATAAGTGAATCCATCGCCTTAAACCTCCAGCTAGGATGGTATCGCCACGATAATGATGTAAATATTGATTTAAATAATCTTCGTATGTTGGTATCAGAAACATGAAAGCTGCTACCAACCGGCAACATTAACGCGTCTCGTCTAGCGAAGCTCCTCCCCATTTTGTATATTGCTACTGTTTATGGGTTAGGGTAGTGGCTCCAAACCTGCGGGTCACGAGCACCTCGGGCTCTAATGACGAAAGGTCAGAGGTCGCTGGACAATCTCAATAATTCTGCGGGAGCAGGGGTATTACATGCATTTGTAAAATGTTGAATTCTCATGGGAAAAAAAATGTATCTGATTAATAGTGAGTCGATTGGTTTCTTATTGTTTGTACGGATTGCTCCTTTATTTCTTTTTAAAGATATAACGGGCTTCATATTTATTTTGGGGTTTGAGCATGGGCGCCCTGGATTGACTGGATAAAAATTTTTTTAGACAAAAAATGTATTAAAGTAAAGAGAAAATAAAGAGAAAGTAACTAAGCTGATGTCCTGGCCGTTCGTTCACCATACAAATACGCTACAGTAAATTAAAACTACATTAAAACATAACTAACAATTTTTTGCCCCCCCCCCCCACTAGAAAGTTAATCGATTTTTTTGCCCCCCCCCCCTTAGAAAGTTTTCTGCGGGCGCCCATGCCCACCCTGGGTGGCATCTGAAGACGATGCTATAATAGTCATTTTTTTCCATGCAAATTGTTTGTTTTTAATATACATGGGGTGGGGTGGGGTTGGGGAACTGGCATTAAAATTGTGGCTATGCACACACCCTCCCCCGACACCCAACCAGATGCAGCTTTTGCTTGCCCATGTCCAGCAACACCCCACATGGCTCGCGTGCACCGGAAATCCAAATTGTTATTTTCAAAAATTAAAAAAATCCATTTCACAATGTTCATACATATATATGTTTATAAATATAAAAAAAGAATAGTTCTCTAGGTATGTATGTATGGCTGTAACGCTGTGATCAACAGACACGCGAAATAAAATTCACAGAAGTTAGCAATATTTGAGATTCTTATAAAAAGTGCATTATTTCTTCAACGTATATTTTAAAAAAAATATTTTTTTTATGTAACTTTAGTAGATCGGAAGTTCACGCTCTGTCACCGCCATTGTGTGATGAGCTATAGGTATCTATTTAATAAGCATCAAGATGTTTCAGCTGTTTTATTATAATAACTAACATCATTGCTCTTGGGAACGTCGTGAACTCTAGTTGCAACAACAGGGGGCGTCAGTGCCGCCCGGGGCGAGCCAAGGTTTCTAACGCCCGCTCCCCACCAAAGAAAACACTTTGTATTTGGCAGAAAATGCCGCACCCTCCACCCCCACCTTTTCCGCAATATTGTGCACAACTTGGCGTACACCC